TTTCTTGTTTTTCTGTGTCTTAAGCTATAAGGTCTTCCTTGCTTTTGCCACCTTGGCAGTGGGTTTCCTTGCCAGGAAGTTACCTAACAGTTTCAATGAAGCCAAATTTATAACCTTTAGCATGTATGTCAATTGTAGTGTCTGGGTCTCCTTTGTGCCAACTTACCTTAGCACAAAAGGGAAAAATATGGTAGCTGTAGAGGTCTTTTCTATTTTAAGCTCAAGTGCTAGTTTACTAGTTTGCATCTTTTCCCCTAAATGCTATATCATCTTGTTCAGACCAGATCTCAACAAAAAAGAGCAACTGGTTAGGAGATCAAAATCAGGTATCAGCATTGAGATTTCCCCTCCTATTGCCCATTTTGATTAGACTATTTTTAGAAATAATTTCTTTCTCAATTCTCCTATTAAATATCAGCATTTTCTAATCAGCTTTTACTTATCTCTTTCCTTATTTTTTCTTTTATGACAAAGAGCAATTATGCATCACAAGGTGAAAGCCACATGTAAAATTATTTAGGGTTTTTAGTCTATAAAATATGTAAAAATAAAATATGTAAAAATAGCTGAGACAGTAGGGCCCTTTGTTTGTGCTGCTTGGAATATATTTGGTGCCTCTTTAAGGCCCCAAATTGCTATCCTTTGAAAAAGAAAAGTCTTTTTTTTTTCTTGCTGTAGCAAGCAGATGGATTGTAAAAATTAAAACTGTCACTGGCAAAATCAGGGTAACACAAAGATGGAGTCCCAGTTGTGTTGATTTTATCCCTTGTTGCATAGTAATCAATACAATAAAGGGGCAAAATGTCAAAGTGGCAATATTTATTGATTGATTTAATAAACTTATATGCCACCCCTGCCACAAGAAATGTCCAGGTGGCTTATATATTAGGATCAGTAGTGGGATTCAGATATGTGAACAACTGCCTTTCTGTGAGGATGCCATTTCAAGAAGTCCATTCTGGGCCTAGGCAACAAAAAATTAGCTACTGGTTCTGCCGAACTGGTGCAAACTGGCTGAATCCCATCACTGATTAGGACTAACAAAAAAAATGAAACACCAAAAACAAAATACAGATGCCATAACATCATAATAATACTAATAAATCGTAGTAATCCACAGTATATTAGGGAAGAATAAAGTACAAAAAGCAAGAGTAAACAAGAGAATATTCCAGGCTAATATCATGGAATGGATCATAATCATCCACCCAGTTCTAGGAGCTATTGGAAAAGCAGATCTTTAAATATTTGCAAAATATAAAACAGGGCCAGACCCACCGAGACTTCTGGAGAAATGCTGTTCAATTGGGCAGACAAATTTGTAGACTATAGATACTAGGACATTCAATTTAATGCATTTACTGATAAGATTCTGAAAGCATACTCAGCCATCTGCAGAATATAGAATCAAGTTTCCCTATCATTTATTTTGTAGCCCTTAGGTAGCATATTGATGGGAGATATATTTAGATTCAATATTATATTTTAAGGAACAATGCTATAAAACATCATAATTCATAGATCTGGAAAAAAGCTCAAAGTCGTATATTCAGTATGTGCAATTAAGCATGTACCATGCAGGATGCAATTACAGATAGCCATTGGGACTTTTGGGTTGGAAGACTATTCCAACTATCTTCACCATAGTTGATCTGCCTGCATGGTTTTCTTTAGGTGATAGACAAAGGCCTTAAGATCCATACCAAATTGTTTATTCTACTCTATTCAATTTTAAGATGAATGATTTAAGTGCTATATTCAGGATTTCTAATTATATTGTGCTTGCTGACATTTAACCCCACTACATCATAGGACAAGGTGAATACAGACATAAAAAACAAAATTTAGATATGGGAAATAGAGAAATGGTTGTTTGAATGCTGTTTTTAATAATGAATGCCATATGTCAAATGTCAAGTTGTTGATTAATAACAAAAACTGCTAAGAGGGACACAAATCACCCTTGTGAGATACTGACACAGGAATATGACTCAAATCCCTTTGTTCCTTTGTTCAACCAAGAAGGTGAGAGACATACAAGCTTCAGGAGACATCCCCTTGTGTCCTTTTTTCTGTGCAGAATAAAAGTTCTGTCAATCTCCACCCAGGTGTCATATCAGGCGCCAAATCCAGCAGAAATTTTTCACTGGTGCAGATCCTGGTGATTATTAATAAACCTGTGATTTCAGAGTCATAATATTTCATAACATTATTTCTGGATTTGAAAAGGACAAAATATTAGAAGCAACATTTGATGGGAGAGGTAGCAAAGAATAAAAAGTCATTCAATTTATGATTTGGACAGGTACAAAAATTCTAATGAGATTTGTTTATCTCATGAGAGTTTAAGTGATTTGGAGGGAGGCATCCATAGGATCTGATGCTTTGTTCAGAATGATGAAAGCAACGTCATACCATCATGCTTTCATAGGTAAATGAGATATAATATCAAAATGGTGGATCTTGTCTCAGGACAACACATTCTTCCTTTCATAATTTGCTTCCCCTGCTTCACACACCAGCATGTATATGTCTATGCGCACACCCTCGTTCACACATACGCAAACACAAATAAAACAACAACTCTTATAATTTACAACAGGCTTCTCACTTTGGCTATACCCGAAGAGCATTTGAGCATATTAAATTATTGCCACTTCCTGCTTTTGTATTTTGAGAAGCAATTTTTATAAACTGCATGGTATTTAGGTTGAGAATAAATCTTTCCCTAATGTCAGCTGCACCTTCAGCACCAGAGGGCCTGTTAACATTCATTATTGTATCCTCATCTCTAATTACTTCATCTACCAGATTAGCATCAAGGGGAATTGAGAGCTGTAGGAAAGAAAAATAACACTATCTAAACAAGAGCATAAGGACTCTCTCTTATTATAGGTGATTGATTAAATGTCCAGAAACCAGAATATATTTGAAGGATTTACTTTTGTGTCTTGTGAATTATGGAAAGGAAACATTATATATAGGACTGTTTATCCTTTTGATTTGTCAGCAAAAGTATACCTGTTCAGCTTCCATCAAACTCATTACATCAATAGGAAAACCTATTTCCCCAAGGGATAAAATATATTAGCTTGATCTGCATAACCTACACAATAAGTAAAAAGAAAATTATTTGAATAATATAATTGTAGTGTGGAAAATCAATCTAGAATCAGCAGACAAAGTATGAATACCTTTAAGAGCAGATATTTCATTCAATAGTAATAACAATTTAGGCATCACTGATAAAAACAGAATACTAATCTGCAAAGTGATCCTGGTTTCAAAATGTTAATATCATTCATGTTATTATATCAAATTGTGCTCAAGACACATTCCTTTTCTAGCAGTACTAAGACCTCTTCCATTACATGCAACATAAAGGATCCAGTCAAAATGTCACATGAATTTTATCAGCTGGGAAACTTTGCCATTGGACAGATTGCTTCTCAAATTTTTTTCCTTCACTTTTCAACTAATTTCAATGAGCAACCATCCATGTTTAGTATGAAGGAAGCCATGTAAGGATTTCATTCTGTTTTTCTGCCAACTCCCTTGTCCCTGCGCATCCATTCATTAAGAATGAAACAATTGGAACATGAGAAGCTTCAATGGATTGAAGATATTGCATACTTTCATTTTATGACATTGTTCTTGTTTGTATTTTATGCGTTTGTTTACTCCTAGAGGATCATGTTTATTTTATTTTCAGTATTTTGTTATAATTTCATTTATTTCTGATGGCAGTATTTACTGATAATCTAAAAAGTGATATATATCATTTCACATGCCATTTTTGTTCAGAATCTCAGAATATATTACAGTAGTTCTTTATTACCAACTGCTTGTCTGTTAATTTTTCATTCATCTATCTCATTTTACTAACCCTTATTGAATAAACCTATCTGAAGTTTTTTAGTTTTATTTCTTCCAAGTTCCACATTTCATTAATGCTTTGCTGTGTGGTATTGTCAGGTTTTTTTAATCCATTGCCAATAATTTTTCCCATTCCTTCTTTCTTTATCAAATTCTTCCCTACTTTATGAATGTGCTTTTATATCTTTAATAGTACTTTCAAAGTTCTCAGCATATTTATCATGATCCAACCATAGGCAAGGATTTCTGACACAAGAACTCTGCCCTAATCTATAGCTTTTCAGAATAAAGTAATGGCAGTTATTTAAAAAAAAACCTGCCAAGCTAATATATGTTTGAGTGTTCTCTCTGTTTCAGGACTGTGAATCCTGTATTGAAAGTTACAATGAATTAAACGTATAAGGAAATGTTATCACAATAAACAAGTGAGTGTATTTCCTCAATTTTGGGAACGCATTCACCCTTGTTCAACTTACTTGTTGAACAACAAACTTGTTGAACACCTAGAAGCAAGCTAAGTTATAACTAGAAGCCAACAATACCTGGATCTCAGTAAGGCATTTGGAAAAGTAAACCACAACTTACTTCTTAGTAAGTTAGAAACATTGGAATAGACAACATCACTACCAGATGGATTCATAGCTAGCTGACAAAATGCACTTAATGAGTAGTACATAAAGGAACTACATCTACATGGAGGATAATAAGCAGTGAGATACCCTAAGGTTCTGTCTTAGGCTCAGTATTCATCAATATCTTCATAAATGATTTAGATGAGGGAATAGAAGGGGAATTCATCAAATTTGCCGATGGCACTGACCTGGTAGGAATAGCCAACACCCCAGAAGATAGGCTCAAGATCTAGAAGGATCTCGACAGAATTGAACAATGGGCCTTATGTACTTAAAAGTTGAGAAAAGTAAACTAAGACCTCCAAGGTCCCTTCCAGCTCTGTTATTCTATTATTCTTATTTCTTTCAGACATGCTAAACTTTTCTCTACACAATTTATGACATTCTACATTTGCTAGTGTTTATAGTAGAAGAAAAAGATTTTGGTTTGCTAACGTACTCTATGTATTCATTCTAAACTTGTTTCTGCACTTTATGTAATTCGGCAGTGTGATGCCAAAGAACTACCAGTACATTCTGGCTCTTGTATTTGCAATAAAGGAGATCAATGAGGATTCCATGATTCTTCCCAATGGCACTTTGGGCTTACACATCTTGGATAACTACTGTAGTAGACAAATCACATATGATGCCACCCTGCGCCTGCTTTCCACCAAGAACAGGTTTATCCCTAACTACAAATGTGACCCTGAGAACCATTTGATGGCTGTCATTGGAGGACTTGATTCTGAAACCTCTCTTTATATGGCCACAATATTAAACTTTTACAAGATTCCACAGGTAATATTTTGGAGCAAACCTGCAAAACATTACACAACTAAAATGCTATGGTATATTTAGAAAACATTGAAAGACAATTAAATATTAATTAAACATAGAGAAATAAATCAATGTTATAAGTAAGATTTAATATATAAAAAGCATATCCTTCATGTGAGAGACATTTCACAATAATTTTCAGCAGCAGCACATCAGACTGTAACTCTGTGCCAGCAATTAAGAATGTAGGTGGGATAGTTTCTATAGGTTTCCCTATGCAAAACATTCTCTGCAGATAGTAATAAAATTGCCAGGGGAAAGTATTCTGATTCCACTTTCTTCGTTAGTATTCATAAAGGAATGAATAGTATTTATTTTATTTAGGTTCTAGAATGAAATATAAAGATAGCGAGTGAATTGGAATTTTCAAGCTAGATGTGATTGAATTTCTGTTTGAACCTATATTATAAGATATTTTGGTTACAATTGTATGTAACAATTTAATTTAATACACATATCAGTCTTACAGAAATTACATCACTTTTATTGTAATAAATGCTTTTAGATCACATATGGATCACTTGTTTTAGGACTGAGTGATGAAATTCTTCTTCCTTCCTTATATCGGATGGTTCCAAATGAAGACAGTCAGTACTCTGGGATTGTTCAGTTGCTGATATATTTTAGATGGACATGGATCGGCCTGTTTGCAGTGAATGATGACAATGGAGAAAGATTTTTCCAAGTCATTGTGCCTATGCTTTTTGAAAATCATATCTGTTTTGCTTTTATCAAAAGAACACATAAATGGGCTGATCTGGCTGAACTTTTAGACTTATTTCTAGACGATCTGGAAACATTTCCAAGTCTTATGAAAAGCAAAGCCAATGTATTTATTGCCCATGGTACCCAGGAGTCCATGCTTAATTTAATCTGGTATCTTCAGGTGGCTGCTTGGGATTCACATATTGGTAAAGTATGGGTTGTGACAGAACAGTGGGATTTCACATTACCTGACTATCAAAAGAACATGGATATTCTTCCTTTCCAAGGTGCTATATCTTTTTCAGTTCATTCAAATGAAGTACCAGGATTTACGGCATTTCTTGACAATGTAAAGCCTTTCTGGAGAAGAGAAGATGGTTTTATTAAAGATTTTTGGGAAAAGGCTTTTAGCTGTTCATTGAAAAATTACAAGATAACTGAAAATGAGGAGCACAAGAAAAAATGCACAGGAAAAGAGAAGCTGGAGAGCCTTCCAAGAACTTTCTTTGAAATGAGAATGACTGGCCAAAGCTACAATATCTACAATGCTGCCCATGCCATTGCACATACTCTACACACTATTTATGAAGCTAAAGCAAAATACAGAAGAAGGGTGCCTGGAGGAATCCTAAAGTTTTGGAATCTCCAGCCATGGCAGGTAATTAACTTCCAAAAAAGCATGGCTTAGTTTTCAAGTGCAGATTATAAGAAGCTAGCATTGGGGGGTGCATATAATTTCCAATCTTGGTGTCTTCCATTTGTGTTGAAATGGAGTTCTCAAAAATTGTATAAAACTTGGCTTTCGAAAAAAAATGTTCTATGTCATGTATAGAAATATGGAGGCAGGTAGAGATTACATTGTTAAAATGGAAAATTTGATATTATTTATATGGATTTTTTTTCAGGAAATTCCCAAAATCTCATCCAGTGTAGGTCTTCAGCATGGTTGCAAGAAAACTATTTTAAACTTTCAACCTCTGGTTCTGATCCTAGTTCAAATTAAGGGATTGATTTAATTTCCACGGCAAAGTAATTACATCATTCAAATAATGTGTCAGAATGATAGAATATATATCACAAATACACATACATATGCACATACATACTGAGTGATTATGTGTCACCAAACCATTAATATTAATTCTAGTGACCACATACATTTTCTCTGTGATGATCTATTCCTACTCTGAACTTTCAGGTCTTCTAACAGTGCACTCATCACCATTGTATTTGAATTCATCCACCTTATTGCTGGTCATCCTCTTCCTCTCATTTCTTCCAGCATTCTTTCCCAGCATTAGAACTTTTTCTAGTGAACCAGGCCTTGAAATAAAATGTCTGAAATAGCATACTTTGAGCTTGAGCCTGGTCATTTATACCTCAAGTGAGAATGGAATAGAATAGAATAGAACGGAACAGAACAGAATGGAATGGAATAACAGAATTGGGAGGGATCTTGGAGGTCTTCTAGTCCAACCCCCTGCTCAGGCAGGAAATCCTATTCCATTTCAGACAAATGGTTGTCCAATCTCTTCTTTAAAACTTTCAGTCTTGGAGCATCCATAACTTTTGGAGGCAAATTGTTCCACTGGTTAAGTGTTCTAACTGTCAGGAAATTTCTTTTTAGTTCTAGGTTGCTTCTCTCCCTTGATTAGTTTCCATCCATTGCTTCTTGTCCTGCCTTCAGGTGCTTTGAGAATGGGTTGACTCCCTCTCCTTTGTGGCAACTCCTTAGATATTAAAACACTGCTATCATGTCACCCTAGTCTTTCTCTTCATTAAACTAGACATATCCAACACCAGCAACAGTTCTTTATGTGTTTTAGCCTCCAGTCCCTTAATCTTCTTTGTTGCTTTCTCTGTACTCTTTCTAGAGTCTCAACATCGTTTTTTATATCGTGGCGACCAAAACTGCATGCAGTATTCCAAGTGTGATCTTAAGAAGGGATTATTAAAAATGTCATGTTAATAAAATTCCCAGTGTTCTAATATTGGAAGTGTCTTTGAAATACTCTGCATAGTTTTCATTACTCTTCGAAAGTAAATTATTGAAGAGCTGGAAGAAAAGGTTTTGAAATATTTTTTCCTCTGTTTTCATTTCACATAACAAGGACATATGGCAAACCTATGGCACGCATGCTAGAGGCGGCACTCAGAGATCTCTCTGTGGGCATGCGTGCTATCACTCCAGTCCCACCTCCCCCTGTGGCCCCTCCTCACTAGCAGCCCTCCCGGAGGAGAGTCACCCCCGGGTGTGGCCGATATGGCAGCTGGGCAGCAGGAAAAGACTCCACCCTCATGCCCCCATGGTCCCCATAGTGCTCTTGGGCCGCCTGGGCAATCCACTGCAGTGGGCCGTGGAGGCAGTAGGTGGCCCTGTGGGAGGGCGGGGTGGAGGTGGGAGGGACAGGGCAGTTTTGGGGTACTCAGTCTCTAAAAGGTTCTCCATCACTGGCATATGGGCTATAGATTCATAACAGTTATATTACTTAAATTATAGGATTTAATATCACCATATCTAGCATTGGCCACAGTCATTTGCTTTAAAATTAAAGATGGAGGTCTTATTATGAATAACTGTTATTTAAAGAAGATTTTAAGAATCAATTGCAAAGTAGAGGAGAAACAAAATTGGAATCATCCTGGAAGAATTTTCATTGTTCTGGAGTCTATTAGAAATAGAAACCTAAAATGGCAGTATATGGTCTTGTAATGTCCTTTTTTTTCAGAGTTTGCTATGATCACGTTGAACAATGTAATCATATAAAGTTTCTTAGTCTGTCATTACAAAGTCTATTGTGACACTTAAAATATTGCCAACTGTACTCACATACTTTTTTTCAATCCAATGATATATTGGAAATTAAGCAAAGTGGACAAGGACTCTCTATCAGTTGGCTAGGTCACTCAAAATAAAGATTGAATTTCAAAATGAACTGCATCAGGGCAGGAGGCTGCAGAGAAAAAAAATAATCAGAAAAAAATTCTCTCCAAATTTTTTGGACTCTTAAGTGGCTGGAGGTCAATATTGGATCAAATTCTTTTATACAAATAAATGTTTATTATCATATACTGACCAGAACTATATACAATACAACTTTATAAGAAAACATAATTTATTTCCCCATCTTACAGTTTCTCTTCTACAGTTGGTCTGAAGATGCCTACTTAACCCTATAGGCCTCCAGCTGCTTCTAACCAGATTACAAAGTATCAATCCCACTGCAGTAAATGTGGGATTTATTTTTTAGGATTTCAACAATGAATGTTCTTGTTGCTTTGATTTAGTTTCATCCCTTTCTAAGAGGTATCTCATTCAATAACAGTGCTGGAGAAATTGTGCATTTTGATGAAAATGGTAAACTAGTAACTGGATTTGATGTTATAAATTGGGTAACTTTCCCCAATCAATCATATGTTAGAGTCAGATTTGGAACTCTGGATCCTCTGGCACCTCAAAGCAAAGAATTATCCATTCATGATGAAAGCATTGTGTGGCACAGAATGTTTAACCAGGTAAGAAAAAAAACTCTCAGTTCTTGGTTTAAGAAAGTGTAGTCCTATCTCAAATTCCTGACTCCAAAAAAGGAATGATTCAGACTGTCCTCTTAAGGGGCAGTAAGAATCATAATCATTATGTTTGGTCACTTAGCTAGAGGTCAAGTCTGGAAAATGAGACAGGCTTGATTATCTTGTAAGATGACTCAGAACATGGAAAGAACAAAAATATGTTCCCTTTGGTTTTGGATAAAACTGACTTCTGGTTTCCAGGATACTCATTGGGGACAATGAGTTCACTTAACAAGGTTGATTTGCTTAATGACCATGGTGATTTGTTTAATAACCACTGCAAAAAATGTCATGAAATTGGATCAGTCCCTCTCATTTAACAACTGGCACAATTTACAGTTATAATTTGAGGAGTATCTATATGAAATATGAGTTCAAACAAATTGCTCTATTTATTTTCTGTATTTGTGTGTGTGTGTGTGTGTGTGTGTGTGCGTGTGTGTAGTTTATAAATTATTTTTTATTAATAATGATTCCTAAGGCAGGATAAAAGTGCTATATCTCCCTATGTAATAAATCCAGTAATATTTAAAGAAAAGGGAAGTAAAAGTACTTAACCAGCAGACCAAAAACACATATGTACACTCACATGCATGTGCGCAAGCACACACACACAGTCACAAATATAAACATACACAATGCCTATGCAGAACCCAATTTTGACATATCACTAGAAAGTAATGAAAACACATTCCAGTATATTCCTTTCAATTAAATTTTCAAATTGTTGTTGTTGTTAGTTGCAAAGTTGTATCTGACCCATCGCAACCCCATGGACAATGTTCCTCCAGGCCTTTCTGTCCTCTACCATCTTCTGGAGTCCATTTAAGCTCACACCTACTGCTTCAGTGATTCCATCCAGCTAACTCATTCTCTGTCCCAAAAGTTTTCAAATATCAAAATATATATTCTCAATTCTAAATAAGCTGATCTGAATATCGTGCTTATTTCTTCAACTCTTAACCATTTGTAATTATAGTTACAGATTTTTTTAAAAAAAAGAGATGGCATTTTGCTATTACATTTATGTGAACGGAATAATATTGGAATAAGTCTTATTTTGAATAGATAATGAAATTTTGAGTTTTAGAAAATATTAACTCCATGAATTGGATTTGATATAGAGTAAATATAATTCCTTCAATTCTTGTATATTTCTCACATTTGGTCATATTTCTCAGTTCTACTCTCCACATATTTTTGTTAGGTATTGCCAATTTCTGTATGTAATGACCAGTGTCATACTGGTCTCCATAAGGAAAAAAAGGAAGGGGAACCATTTTGCTGCTATATTTGTGTACCATGTCCAGAAAGAAAGATTTCTAACCAGAAAGGTATGAGACAAGATTTTTAAATATATATATATAAGCATCATTTGAAGTTAATATGCAGTAAAAGAAAGAATGGACAGTTCTCACTGGTCCATATAAAATACTATATTATTTATATGTCCAATAGATAACCTTCAGTTAGATTTCAATTTAACCGATATCATATAATTGCTGGAATGATAAGAGAGGACAGAACCACATAAGCCAGCTTCAATTTATTTAAAAAACTTGGATAAAGAAATAAAATGAAAATGGAGAGTCCCCTTTTGATTCTTCAATAAGAATGTCTATTTTCTTCCTCGATTGTTCCACATTATATTCTTCTCATTTAAAATCAACTTTTTCTTCCTATTTCCAGATATGGATTTCTGCACTGAATGTCAAGAAGATGAATATTCCAATTTTCAACAGAACCAATGCATCCCAAAGCTTTTAAACTATCTGTCCTATAAAGAGCTACTAGGGATCACTTTAATGGGTTTTTCAATTGTATTTGCTGTGTCAACAATTTGGGTGCTTAGAACTTTTTGGAAACACCAGGACACTCCTATAGTCAAAGCAAACAACCGAAACCTCACCTATACTCTTCTCTTCTCTCTCTTTCTTTGCTTTCTTTGTTCTCTCCTCTTCATTGGAAAACCAACTTCTACCACATGTATTCTCCGACAAACAGCCTTTGGGATTGTCTTCTCTTTGGCCCTTTCCAGTGTTTTGGCCAAAACAATTACTGTTGTTCTAGCCTTTGTGGCTACCAAGCCTGGGTCTAAGATGAGGAAATGGTTAGGGAGAAAATTGGGAAATACTATCGTCATTTCCTGCACCACTATCCAAGTGTGCATTTGTTCTCTTTGGCTGTTTACTTCTCCACCATTCCCAGATAGGGACTTAAACTCTCTCCATGAGGAAATTATTCTGGAATGCAATGAGGGCTCAGTTACCATGTTTTGTCTTGTCTTGGGCTATATGAGTTTTCTGGCCATGGTCAGTTTCTCTGTGGCTTTCTTTGCCAGAAAATTACCAGACAGTTTCAATGAAGCCAAATTTATCACTTTCAGCATGTTGGTCTTTTGCAGTGTTTGGTTTTCTTTTGGTCCAATGTACCTGAGGACCAAAGGAAAGTTTGTGGTGGCTGTTGAAGTCTTCTCTATCTTAACATCAAGTGCTGGGCTTCTGAGTTGCATCTTTTTCCCTAAATGCTACATAATTGTATTCAGGTCTGAACTGAACAACAAAGAACAACTAATAAGGAGATAATGCAGGGTCATTTAATAAACAATTTATCTAGGAATTAAGAGACATACATGGATGTATACATGTGTAACTGTACCAATGAAGGAGAATATTTGTAGCTTAGGGTTGAAATGTGGGTTCCTTGGTGCTCTCTGAGCTTGCTTGTTTTCTTGCAGATGTTCCCTGGAATTTTTGGATTTGGCCTGGTTTGTATTTGATCAAATCCAAAAATGCCAGGGAATTTCTAGAAGCCTGGCACTCTGACAAATCAGCCATCAATAGACACATAGACATTAACAATATCTACAGGCTACACAAAAGAGACAATCAAGCAGCCCAAAAGAGAAAAAGACTCCAGTTCTTCTCCACCAGTAATCAAGACTCAGATCAGCATAGATTAACTCCAAGGTCAACTTCAGACCAACAATCAAGTAAGCAATACCCCAATCAAGAAACTGCCACACAGAGCTATTAGTAAACAGCCCAACCAAAGAATCCTGAAGACTGTCCCCACCCACACAGACAGACAAGCCACTAGAACTGGCAGCAAACAGCACTCCTTACTAGCACTAATGATGTTACCTAGTTAGGGTAATGAAACATCTGCAAGAAAAAAAGCAAGCTAAGAAAGCACCAAGGACACATGTAACTGTCTCCTAATACATTCATAAATTAGTTACTGTGATTGAAACTAATGTATGTGACAATTACCATTTTTTGTTTCAAATTTTGAGAAATAATATTTTAGATAGCTCCCCATAAAGTCTATGTTAAAAGAAGACAATATTTCTCCAGATGTCAACAACATCAGCACCTGCGGTCCTATTATCTTTCACTATCATTATCTGTATGCTTCCCCCTTATTAATCTGCTAGCCTAGTCTGAATATAAGATATTACATACTGATGAAGTAATCAACAAAATGCTCATCTGCAAAGCATCTTTGAGTCTCATCATCATTGTTTCAATCTTATCACTAAGTCCAGTTGTGTTCAAGATAAATTTCTTTTCCAGCAGTGCTCCTTCCATTCTATGCACCTTAAGTGATCCAGTCATAATTTTACATGAGTTCTACCAGCCAGGAAATCTTGCTGTTGGAGAAATTGTTTCCCAGGTCTTTTTCCTCCACTTGTCAATTGATTTCAGAGAAAAACCCTCAGAGATTAGTATGAAAGAAGCCATGTAAGTCATTTCTGTCCCACCCTGAGCAGAAGAAAAGTAAATGAAACTGTGCAGAATCTAGATATCTGCCTTCTGAGTTAATTTTTTTCCTTATTATTGAACCTGTTTTATTTTCAATATTAGTGAAGACACCATTTGTAATATTTGCACTTAATAATGATTTATAATACATCCAACATTCCAGATAGTACTTTTGTTAATTTTCATACATTGATGTTTGCTTGCCAGATTTTTTTTCATCACTATCTTCTTGATTCTCAAGCTTTTCATTCATTCATTCATTTTGAAACACTGCACTTTAATTTTATCTATTTAAATTTCAGTATCTCATAGAGGCTTTATTTGTTTCATCTGAAATTTTGCTGATTACTTCCATAGCTTCTTTTGTTCTTTAATTTTTCTGTAATTAATAAGTGGTTGTACTTTCATCATTAAAACCACGTCCTTTAAATAATTTTACTAGCATCACCAGAATCATAATCATTTTTTGCTTATTTATTACACTTATTTGTATGTTGCCTGATTCATCAGATTTATGCATCCCTGATTTTAATTTTTTTAATATCAGAATACATTCAAGGGGTTAGATTCTATCAATGGGTCACCAATTACATGAGGGGTTCCATTTCTTAACTGATAGCAATCAGTTATACTTTGAAGTTACAACATTCCCATTTCCACTGTTCGGTTTTCCTAATGGAACTAATATCTGAATCACTGAACAGCTGTATTTAGGGTTTGATTTAGAAAAAGTCACTTTCTAGTTTTCATCTTAGCAAAGAACTCATGGACTGTATTTGGTCAAACTCTGCTCTGTTCTTTTCAACCATTCCATGAATAGAATATATTTCATTACAACATCCAAGGAACAGATGGGAATTTTAATGCTGGAAAGAGGGTAAAGAGAGAGCACTGTGTTTATTCTAGATTTAATTTCTTTTCCTGCAACTTTAGGTGTATCTAACAGTTTCAGGAAAGGAATCAGAAATAAGCTTGCTTCTCTGGCTTCCTCCATTTCATAACATACTCAATCCATTCAGCATGGTTTTTCAAATGAGAAATTTGTCCTATGCATGTAGCCAGTAAGCAAAATTTATATCCTATGTGAATATATTCTACTTGAATTGTAACTATATCAAAATATGTAGTGCAGTTTCTCTGCTTCACAGCTTGAAATCCAGTATATGAAATGTTATGTCAGGTTATATGAAATGTTGTACATGAGGAAATCTCTTAGGCCTTACTTATGGAAAATAAACACAAGTTAGGCTTCACCTTCTTCAGAGTATGTTTTCTTTCATGCACTAAAGTCAAGATTTTCTAAAATTGTTAGTCATTGTGCTGACATAAGAGGCTTTATTTGAATTTTGGTAAAACATGAAAACATGTTTCTTTTTTTTGGAAAAAAATACCTAATGTAACTTTTCAGTGTGATGCCAAAAAACTACCAGCATATCCTGGCTCTTGTATTTGCCATAAAAGAGATCAATGAGAATTCCATGCTTCTTCCTAATGTCACATTGGGTTTTAACATCTTTGACAATTACTACAATGTTCAGCTCACATATAACACTGTCTTCCGCTTACTTTCTGCAAAAAAGAGATTTGTCCCTAACTACATGTGTGATGTTGAAGACCAGTTGGTAGCTGTTATCGGTGGACTTGATTCTGAAACCTCTTCCTATCTGGCCACAGTTTTATCTATCTACAAAATTCCACAGGTAGAGTTGGATGGGAACAGAGGGAATGTGCAACCTCTCCAATAAAAGCTTCTTATTAAAAATGTAATGGGCATAGCTTATAAATAATGATGGATGAAAAAATAAGATTAACAAAATATACAGAAATACAATTAAGGAGGAAAATAGCATGACATTTAAAGGAGTTACCCCAAATTATACATATTTTAAGGTTAGTTCTCAGAAGCAGCATATGAAGTGGTAAATCTGTCTCTGAATAGCGCACAGAAAATGAATTTTTATGTGGCTGTTTGTAATATGTATGAAAGTGAGAGAGAGAGATTAAAGGGAAAAAAGTCATTCTTGTTGATGCTTTCAAGTACATGGAGTAGAGATTTGTTCCCTGCAATTTCCAAAAAAATAACAAGAAACTGGTTTTTGTTAGCTTGTCCACAATGACATCTGACACTAAATCAGACTTCCTCAGAAAGTTAAGGCATCTTCTTCAATTGAATATTTAGGCAGAGAATGGATTACTAATTCAGCCCAGGATTATAGATCCTTAATTGAGCAAGGGGTGAACTAGGTCAATTTAAAATACCTAAATAGGAGCAGAGAAACTCCGGAAACCAAATTACTTGAGGGCTTCAGGCTAAAAAAAAATTATCTTAAAATTCAAATTTTATACCATTTTGAAGTTTTTTCAGGATTTAAAGTTAAAATATAACTTCACTCTCAGAAATGTCTAGCAAAAACAATGCATGTTCATAAGTGCTTTTAAAATGCAATGGTTGTACAATAATTATTACATTAAATAAAATACTGGATAATTGTTTTTAGATTACTTATGGATCTTTTGTCTCAGGAATGAATGACAAAACACTGCTTGCTTCCTTGTACCAAATGGTTCCAAATGAAATTCAACAGTACTCTGGGATTGTCCAATTGCTGATACATTTTAGATGGACTTGGGTTGGACTTTTTGCAGTGGATGATGACAATGGAGAAAGATTTTTCCAAAAATTGGTTCCAATACTTTCTTCAAATAGTATCTGTTCTGCCTTTATCAAAAGAACGCCCAAATGGACATATGTTGCTGATATATTAGACTTGTTTTTAGATGACTTGGACAAATTTCCTTCTCTCATGGAAAGCAAAGCAAATGTTTTTATTGTCCATGGTGCACCTCCTTCCATGCTAAATTTGAGCTGGTATCTTCACATGGTAGTCTTTGATTCAAACCTAGGCAAAGTGTGGATTGTGACAGAACAGTGGGATTTCCGATTAAGTGACTATCAAAAGAACTGGGATATTCAATTCTTCCAGGGTGCTATATCATTCTCAGTTCATTCAAATGAAATATTGGGATTTAAAGCATTCCTTGAAAATGTAAATCCTTCATGGGAATCAGAAGATGGCTTTATTCAGGACTTTTGGGAAAATGCTTTTAGTTGTTCAATGAAAAACTACAGTGTAATTTCAGAGAAAGAGCCCAAGAAAGTTTGCACAGGAGAAGAAAAGTTGGAGAGTCTTCCTGGGACTTTCTTTGAAATGAAAATGACTGGACACAGCTATAATGTCTACAATGCTGCCTATGCTGTTGCACATGCATTACATATTATACATGAGTTTAGGTCAAAATCCAGATCAAAGGTTGCTCAAAAAAGTTTGAAAGTTTTGAGCTTTCAGCCATGGCAGGTAATGTTACTCAAAAAGACCAGTTTTATTTTTATGCATAATTTATAATAATAGTAAAGAGGAATCTCTCTCAAGTTGAACCTGATTCCTGATAACAAAATGGATACTTCCATGTAGCCGTTTTGACAATAATACAGAAGCATTGCCCCAAAGGAGAAGCAAGACCAGACAATATGATTCCATATGGTACCTTGATATATTTCATGTTTAGAAATAGGAACATGATATGTTATGTGTGTCATGTGTACAGTTTTTTATCATACTTTTTGGACAATTCAGAATCATACATTGACAAAATTGAAGTATATGATATAAATGTAATAATCTGATCACACTAAAGAAAAATAGAATTTCATACAATTTAGATTCTTGGTTGTTTTTGTTTCTATTTGTATTGGTTAATTTTTAAACTATTTCATAAGATTTTTTTTCCTCTGACTTTTTTTCTTTCCCTAGTTTCACATAGTTTCCACAACAGCTTATTTCTTTTTTGTTTCCTTTCTACCATATAGCTTTCTTTTTGAAATATAGTGTATGGTCATATTGCTATTTAGTGCTTATGTAGGACTACAAAGTAGTAATATTTAAAGGAGACACTGTGTGTGAGTTGGTCAGCTATATAAATTTGTTTAATAAATAAATGTTAATTATAATACTAAAACATTTGAACTTTAATAAATAAGTTTAATAATACAAACGTTATTTGCCACCAACACTTTTTTCAATTTCCCCATCAAGTCTATCATCAATGAGGTTCAAATGAGTTTTAAGATATATCCTTTTAGTGATATTAAACACTATAAATTCCTCTGCAATAAATGCTAATCAGTTTCATTATGAATGAGATACAATGCATTCTTGTTTCCTTTTTGAAAAGATAGGCCCATCCCTCTCTAAAGAGTATCTCATTCAACAACAGTGCTGGAGAAACAGTACATTTTGATGAAAATGGAGAATTAATAATAGATTTTGACATCACAAATTGGATAATTTTCCCAAATAAAACTTTTGATCGAGTCATAGTTGGAAAGATGGATCCTCATAGCAAAAGGTTGTCAATCGAAGATGAAAAAATTGTGTGGCATAGAAGATTTAATCAGGTAAGGAAAAAAACTTTATTTAAAAAAATTCATAATTATCAGGAGAAATTCACCTGTTTGTTTGGGGAAAGAATCATTATATTAATCTATTCCAATTCATTTTCAGATTTAGTTTTTGGACAGAAAAATCTTTGTTATACTTATAAATAATTTAAAGTAATGTTTGCATCAGGAAGAATATATTACATGTACTAGAGAGGACCATTATTTTTTTAGAAGGTGACATAGCTTTTGAAATTATGAGCTGTAAAATGAGAAACCTATAGAAGTCTTGGACAGCTAGAGATGTTTTTAAATGATTTGAAACAAACTGCAAATGGAGATGTTTTCAGAAAGGAAAATGGCTAAACTAAATAAATTGATCAAAAATACTTTTGAATGGAATTTGATTTGCTTTGAAGGACTAGTTTTTATTACTTTAATCTGCATTCATTTATGAGTTATAGCTACATTCTCAGAACTCTGTATGAACTTCCAATAATTGATATGTTGCATCACATATTAACTGATCATTTATAATTTGTTTCTAGAGATTTAACTGAGTTTAGCAACAAATATGAAGTCAGGAACAGTTGTGATATGGTGCCCTTTTTATCTTCTAAAACCATAATTTTCAAAACAATGTTTCCCAATTCTGAAAATGTATTTATGGACATTTTGGATAGGAGCTACCCATTTCTCTGTGTAATGATCGCTGCCATCCTGGTAACACCATGGAAAAAAAGGAAGGGGAGCCATTTTGCTGTTATGTTTGTAGTCCATGTCCAGAAGGAAAAGTTTCCTTCTACAAAGGTAAGTGACAACTTTTCAAAAAGATTTCATGTATGGCTGGAATTCCCATGAAAACAGGAATATCATATGCTTCAAAAATGTTGATGTATTGAGAATGGGCATTAGAAAATAAATAGCCCTGTATATGAAATTGTTCAATTTTCAGTCTCAGCATCTAAGTTTGCCATGATATGCAAATATTTCTAAATAAAACTTCTTTGATACCAGAAAGTCCACTTTTAACTAGGGACTTTAACTATGAGTGGAAAAAACTATTCTTACTTTCAATTCTACAATAGTATTTATTTGGCCAATCGTGTTCCTTCAAATTTGATCTTATAAAATTGTTAGGAGGATAAGGTTTGGAGAAAAACTAGATCACAATTATACCTCTTGGACAAAAGACAGGAAATCAAAATAATAAATTCAGAAAGAAAATACCTGTAAACTGGAGGTATTAAAAAAGGAAAGTGAATGAGAATCAAATCATTATGTTCTTTCAAACCCCCACTATGTTTCTTTTTCCAGATATGGATTTCTGCAAAGACTGCCCAGAAGATCAATATTCAGCTCCAGACAAAACTCAATGTATTCCCAAAGGTCTAAACTATCTCTCACATGAAGGTTCTTTGGGGAAAGCTTTAGCTTTCTCTTCAGTTGTTTTTGCTATGACAACAATTTGGGTGCTTAGAACTTTTTGGAAACACCAAGATACTCCTATAGTCAAAGCAAACAACCGAAACCTCACCTATACTCTTCTCTTCTCTCTCTTTCTTTGCTTTCTTTGCTCTCTCCTCTTCATTGGAAAACCAACATCTATCACATGTATTCTCCGACAAACAGCCTTTGGCATTGTCTTCTCTTTGGCCCTTTCCAGTGTTTTGGCCAAAACAATTACTGTTGTTCTAGCCTTTGTGGCTACCAAGCCTGGGTCCAAGATGAGGAAATGGATAGGGAGAAAAATTGGAGATACCATTGTGTTTTCCTGTACTGCTATCCAAGTGTGCATTTGTTCTCTTTGGTTGTTTACTTCTCCACCATTCCCAGATAGGGACTTAAACTCTCTCTATGAGGAAATTATTCTGGAATGCAATGAGGGCTCAGTTACCATGTTTTGTCTTGTCTTGGGCTATATGAGTTTTCTGGCTATGGTCAGCTTCTTTGTGGCATTCTTTGCCAGGAAGTTACCTGACAGTTTCAATGAAGCCAAATTTATTACATTCAGCATGTTGATCTTTTGCAGTGTTTGGTTGTCTTTTGGTCCAATGTACCTAAGCACCAAAGGAAAATATGTGGTTGCTGTTGAAGTATTCTCTATCTTAACTTCAAGTGCTGGGTTACTGGGTTGCATTTTTTTCCCTAAATGCTACATAATTGTATTCAGGCCTGAACTGAACCACAGAGGACAATTAATAAGGAATATATTTAAAAAAACAGAAAGAGAAGAAAAAGTAAAATAATAAAACAAAACATCTAGAAAACAAATCATTTTCTTCTGATGTTTTTACCCTGAGTTTTCAAATTAGACTAGAAATACGTAACCCAAGAAACAATAAATTAACAGCTCAGGATAATAGTATTTATATGATAGAAAATTAAAGTTAAAACAGACATATTCCAGCAAGTGCTTAATTTTAAACAACACAATTTTAAACAATTTAGTGAGATGGCAGAACAAAAAAAAATTGATCACTTTTTTGATGTAAAAGTCTGGATGTGTTCTTTTTTCTGTGAAGGTACACCAATTTGCTTCTTTTCCCAATTTTGGTAACTTTCAGCCTTGTTATGGGTTTCAAAAATAAGGAAGGAAATATGATAGATTAGTCCTAACATATAAATGAAATAGTGTTCATGTATTCTTAGAACCGTAGATTTCATTATTAATTTATTCATGAGTTTACAAGAGAATGAAATTTACCTGAAAGTATCATTATTTATATGATGTCTATACTGTGGAATATTTTTGCCACATTTTGGAAAGAAAACAACATAAATAATCTAAAATTACTTCAAATTATTATTTTCTGAAGGTAATTATATCTGTATATGTGTTTTCATTTAATTCTCTAGTTCAGTTAATAGTACAAATATCCAATAAGCCAGTTGAAAATATATAACTGAATTGAATTGAAAAAAATGTCTTGATAGTTTTGCAGCTCTCCCTTGGAAAATGTTGAAATTTTCTGATGAAAGTTAACAAGTATATACAATTTATTCCTTTATATAAAAGAAAGGAAGCTAATCATTTCTTTTATATCTTTTTAATAAAAAGGGGAAAACATTTTTTAAGTAAAGAGTTAGGGAATTATATTATGTAGACTTGATGTTCATTTGTATAGCATATGACTATACCTTGTTAACTGATCCAATCCACTCTAATTATCCAAGTTAAGATAGCCTAGCATTGTTTAATTAACAATGTCTTGATATTGAAATAATTTGCTTTAGTGACATTTTCTCTAATTAGTGAAGAGCAAAAGATTTTTCAAAATCTTCAAAATTACAACCTCTTTATTCTATTTTTGAAGCTCCACAGACCCACTCACTTCAAGCAATTGCCCTTTGGGACAGTTAACTGCCGTATTCAGGATTACTTTACTGTGTATGGTTCAAATAAATAAAATAATTCTGCCTTCTGCAACAACAAAATACTTTTCTGTCATTTGGAACCAGGGTAACAAAGATTCACATTTTTTCAGAGATAGCTATCAAATGATCCTGAGTTTCATTTGTCTGTGTGTCTGTCTGTGTGTGTGTATGTATGTATGTGCTGGTGTTCCAGATAAAACAGACAGGGAGAAATGAGTTACTTAGCAAAAAGAAAATGAGTGGATTGAGAATGAATTAAATGAATTTATTTGCAAGAAATTAATTTCTGTCAATTTTTATAATAGGTTGTATGTCATTTTTTTCACTCTTTATTGCCTTATTCATTCTCATCAAGAATGAACTGCATCTGTTCACTATGAGATGGGCAGCAAATAAATAAATGTAGACAAAAAGGTAGTCTGCCCACCTCAGACAGCTGCTTCAAATTTCTCACTGAAGGGATATGGAAAGAATGGTACCTACTATAATGAATCCTCTGAAATATATGAAGACCCTAAGTCAGTGGTGGCGAACCTATGGCACACATGCCAGAGGCGACACTCAGAGCCCACTCTATGGGTATACGCACCATTGCCCCAGCCCCGCATCTTCCCACAGCCCCCTTCTCACCAGCAGACCCCCAGAGGAGAGTTGCCCCCAGGCGCAGCCCACACAAAGCAGTGCAGCCAAGGACATGGTAGCCAGGCAGCAGGGACAAGACTCTGCCCTTGCACCCCATTATGCACAAATGATGTTGTGGAGCATGGGTTGAGGGCGTGGCTGCCATGGTACCGCTGGGCTGCCTGAGTGATCTATGGTGGGCCATGGAGGTGATGGTGGCCCAGCAGGCAGGGCAGAGCGGGGACAGGTGGGGGCGGTTTTTGGGCATTCGGTCTCTAAAAGGTTCGCCATCACTGCCCTAAGTTCTCCATTCTTAATCATGGCTCTCCAAACAGGTCATGAGACTGTAATCATCATAATACATGATTTTATATTTTATACATAGAGCTTTCAGGAGAGAGAACCTGGCTCTAGTAAATAGAATCAAAAGCATGCTTGGGATTTCTGAAGCTGGAGAAATAGGATTCTCTCCAGATTCTAGTGCTACAATAATGTCAGTAATAAGGGAAAGCACTGTAATTAATTATACTTCTCTAAGGAATTTCCCTGCCAGTCAAGATGTTGTGGAAATCTGAGTGATAGAATAAAGAAACAAAGGAGGGGGGCAGGAAAGGACCTGCAAGAAATAAGACTTTGTCATTTTGGCCTTCAGGATTTTGAGTAACAAAAGGTTGTATAAGATCATGAAACCATATGCAAAGCAATTATAATATTATAAAATATTAAAATTACTACAACCATCTTCTTACAAATCAGGCTATAAATGAAGGTGTCACTATTTATCAAAGTAGACTTTGATTTAATGACCATTGCATTAGGAATAAAATACTGCTGATATGAAAGGGAAAATGGAGCTCTGGGAAGCAAGTTTTATTGTCAAGATGATGGTGCTTTTCATGGTCCTGCCTCATAGTGTGTGCAAGCTGCAATTCATTCATCCTGATACAAAGACTTATTCCACCAAGTGCAGTGTAAGTGAGCCACTTCCCATTTTGCATGAGTTTTACCAGCCAGGAGACCTTGTCATTGGAGAAATTACTTCCCAAGTCTTTTATCTGCGTTTCCCAACGAATTTTGATGAAAAGCCCTCTCCAATGTTGATCCACGAAGCCATGTAAGGAGTTCTCTTTCCTATGATCCTTTTGTTTAAACTTTAGTGATTGGGAACAGAACCAGACAAGAATTTGAAGATCCCTTATTTACAATTTTATGAGCGGAATTGGATAAATGAAAATAATCTCTGGGATTATTTTTTCTTAATTTAATCTTGATCATTTCACCTTTAGCAACGTACTCCACAACTGAGGGGGAAAAAATCTTTAAAATGGTGATATTAAGGGGAAAAGGCTCCTACAGACACAAATAAGTTTGGCAGTTTTTCCTCCTTCACAGAAATTATCCTGGTAGAAACTGCTAATAGTCAGGTCACATGCACTCATGCTTAAGATGATAGTAGAAAAAGCTAAGGACTAAATTGAAAAATTCTTTAATTCAACTCTGCATTTTTCTTCTTTCTAATATGGACATATCTTATGGATTGTTATAAAAATAATTACAGCAAATGTGAAGTAGTTGTTCATATTTATTATATAAAATTAAGTACGGGCAACTTCTGTAGTTAGCTTACAAGATCTAAAATTCCTATAAAATATTACATATCACATTTCCTAAATAATTTCTCCAATATAATTATATAGACTTCTCAAATCACTACAAGGCACCAACAGTGAGAATATACTTTGAAAACAGAAGTTTGGGAGTAGGAAATAGATATACAGACATAATGAAAAATAGAGTGTTTTCCTTCATACATATTTCAGAAACAGCTATTATTTATTGAAGGTGAAAGGCTACAGCTCAAATCACAAATGACCATGATGATGATGAGACTATTTGTAGTTCTATTAAACAATAAATCTCTTTCATTGCAGTATGATGCCAAAGAGTTACAAGCATGCTCTTGCCTTAGTGTTTGCTATAAAGGAAATCAATGATAATCCTTCCATTTTACCAAATACCACAATGGGATTCCACATCTATGACAGCTATCATGATCCACAAATAACATTTATGAGCACTTTTGGTCTTCTTTCCTCCCGGCACAGATTTTTGCCCAACTATGGATGTGATAGCCAAAGTCCTCCAATAGCCACCATTGGGGGATTTTGTTCTGAAATCACCCTGTATATGGCTATTGCCTTAGATGCCTACAAGATGCCACAGGTAGGACTGAAATGGGATAGCAAATATTTCAAATGAAACTGGATTTTTCTTCACTTTGATCATAAATGGTTATTCATTTTAAAAGGGAAAGCATATAATTTAGATAGATTAGGTTGATTCTTTGAACTTCAGCTCTTATATTGGAGGTAAAATATTTTAGCACAAAGGATATCTATCTATCAATTAGGATTTACACCCATAAGAATAATTGGAAAAGACAATTAAATTATCTTTGTTAACCACCATGGATCACTATTTCATCCCTATCACATTTTTTTTCTTTTTATAATATCAATTCCCAAACCAGGCTTATTCAAAGAAAATTCAATAATACTGATATTTTTAGAAAATTCAAAAGTCAATATTGGATTGGAGTCATGGCATATTTACTCATTTAACAAAAGTAAAATATATTATAAGGTCTGCATTCATATACACTATAGGCTCATTCGAGGAATTTGTGTGCTTGGCTGTAGTTTCAGTTCCAATTTGAATATGAGGTTTAGGACTGCCAGAAGCCCCTCCAAAGCCCTTCAAGTGGGTCCCCTAGAGACATATAAATATTAAAAATGTCTCTAGTAATAGCAATGAATAATATATTTAGTAAATAAATCATAAATATAATTATTCCAATGATAGCAGAGAGAAAATATTAAATGCATCACTGAAGAGTTTTCACACTAAAGAAATGTATTTTTAAAAACATTTAATTGTAAATTAAATTAATTCAAATTTAGTTTTTATTCTGGACCTATTGCTATTTTGGAATGTGCCCCTGTCTAGCCCGATATTCAGATGAGAAAATTTTGTCCAATATTTTTCTCTAAATGTCAAGAATGAAACTTTGGCAGCTGCATGCCTCTTCGTTTCAAATTACCACTAGAGTAAGGGGGTGAGATGTTGCTTGAGAATGGTTTAGATGGAGAAACAAAACCTCTATAATTCCACTGAAGACCATGAGAGC